CCCACCCCCCCGCACCCCGCAGGCGGCTGTACTTCCCCGAGCTGGAAGAGTCGGAGCAGTTTTACCAGTCCCACAACCGGTTCCTGAAGCTGCTGCTGGCCGGGTACCGCTGCGTGGCTGCCCACTCCGAGCTGCTCTGCTACTTCATCATCATCCTCAACAACATGGTGACGGCCTCCGTCATCTCCCTCTTCCTGCCCATCCTCATCTTCCTCTGGGCCATGCTCTCCATCCCCCGGCCCAGCAAGCGCTTCTGGATGACCGCCATCATCTTCACCGAGGTGGGCAGGGGGTGGACGGGGAGGGAACGATGCCACCCAACCCCCCCGGCTGCCACCCGCTGACCCCAACATCCCCGCAGGTGATGGTGGTGGTGAAATACCTCTTCCAGTTTGGGTTCTTCCCCTGGAATGGCTACGCCATGCTGGTGCGCAACGAGGGCAAGCCCTTCTTCCCACCCCGCATCCTGGGCTTGGAGAAAACTGACCGCTACATCAAGTACGACCTCATCCAGCTCCTGGCGCTCTTCTTCCATCGCTCCCTGCTGCTGGTGAGCCCCGGGGCACGGGCAGCACTGCGGGCATCACCTGGGTGGGCATCCCTGGGAGCTGGGAGGTGCTCTTGGGGGCAGTGGGGGCTCTGGGGAGCACCCAGTGGGTGCTTGGGGGCTCTGCCATGGTTTTCACCCAAGACACCCATTGCTGGTTGGGTCCCTGGGCTGCAACAGGAGCTGATCATAGAATCATAGAATCGTCTAGGTTGGAAAAGACCTTTAAGATCGTCAAGTCCAACCGTTACCCTAACCCTGCCATCCCACCACTAAACCCTGATGCCGCGGGATTCGGGGTGCGGTGCCTGGAGCAGGGGGCATCAGGAGCTCCAGCCCCCTGACTGCGCTCCTCCCCAGGCCTACGGGCTGTGGGACCACGAGGAGGACACCTTCCCCAAGAAGAAGGCAGAGGCAGAGCAGGTGGAGGATGAGGAAGAGGAGGAGAGGCGGGAAGAAGCAGTGTCCCCGCCAAGGGCGGTGGGTGAGGAAGGGACGGAGGCGCTGGCAGAGGCAGGAGCACCGGGCGCAGCTGCGGGGCCGGAGCTGGAGGGCGATGCCGTGGGGCAGGAAGAGGGGGCTGGGACCATGCAGCTCCGCTTCAGGAGGAAGAGGCATTGGGGGAAGAAGCAACCGGAGGCAGCTCCGGAGGAAGGTGAGTGCTGGTTCCCGGCCCTTATGCCCCAGCAAGGGGCAAGGCTGGTGTCCCCCAGAGTGGTAGGGTGCTTGGGCCGGGCAGGATGTGGCCTGCAAGACCCTGGCTGTCACCCATGCTGTGCCTCACTCACAGGGGATGCAGAGGAGGAGGAGGAAGAGGAGGTGGAGGAAGAGGCAAAACAGAGCCATGCTCAGAAGAAGCTGAAGGCGTTTGGGCTGCGGGTCAAGCTCTTCTTCCTCACCATGTGAGTGCCCCATGGTGCTGGTTGGGGTGGGGGCTGTGGGGTGCAGCCCCCCAGTCACCCATCCCCCCTGTCCCCTCTGTCCCCTCCAGGGCGCAGAACATGTACCAGCCGGTGCGCAGGTTCTTCCAGGACATCCTGCACACCCAGCACCGGGCGGCTACCGACGTCTACGCCTTCATGTTCCTGGCCGACGTGGTCGACTTCATCATCATCATCTTCGGTTTCTGGGCCTTTGGGGTGAGCAGGGGGCTCCCACCGGGCACCATTGGGCCAGCTCCTGCCATGGGGTCAGGCTGTGCCATATCCTGACCTCTCCTGCATCCCCAGAAACACTCGGCGGCCGCTGACATCACCTCCTCGCTGTCGGATGACCAAGTGCCGGAGGCCTTCCTGGTCATGCTGCTCATCCAGTTCACCACCATGGTCATCGACCGCGCGCTCTACCTCCGCAAGACTGTGCTGGGCAAGCTAATCTTCCAGGTCATCCTGGTCTTCAGCATCCACCTCTGGATGTTCTTCATCCTGCCGGCTGTCACCGAAAGGTACTGAGAATGTCCCCAAGGGCACAGTGTGGTCCTAGGGGGGCAGCTTTGTGTCCCCAAACCCACGTGGTGGCCCAGCATGGCCAGGGAGGTGGCCGAAGGGGTGACACCTCCCTCCCACAGGTTGTTCAGCCTCAACACAGTGGCCCAGCTGTGGTACTTCGTGAAGTGCATCTACTTCTCGCTGTCAGCCTACCAACCCCACCCGCATCCTGGGCAACTTCCTCACCAAGAAATACAACCACCTCAACCTCTTCCTCTTCCAGGGGTAGGGCACCGGGCCACGCGGACCCCCAGGCACCTGGAGGGTGATGTACCAGCCCCCTCTCCCCATGCTTCCCCCCCGCCCAGGTTTCGCCTCGTGCCCTTCTTGGTGGAGCTGCGGGCCGTCATGGACTGGGTCTGGACAGACACCACGCTGTCCCTCTCCAACTGGATGTGCGTGGAGGACATCTACGCCAACATCTTCATCATCAAGTGCAGCCGCGAGACAGAGAAGGTAGGGCCCTGCTGTGTGGGGAAGGGCCCCCCAATAAGCCCTTTGTTGCTTGGGTCCCCCCAAGCCCACCTGGCACTATGTCTTGTCTCCCCCCCCAGAAATACCCTCAGCCCAAGGGGCAGAAGAAGAAGAAGATCGTGAAGTACGGCATGGGGGGCCTCATCATCCTCTTCCTCGTGGCCATCATCTGGTTCCCGCTGCTCTTCATGTCGCTGGTGCGCTCCGTGGTGGGCGTTGTGAACCACCCCATCGACGTCACCGTCACCCTCAAGCTGGGGGGGTACGAGGTGAGGATGCAGAGGATGTGGGGCTGGGGGAGGGGTGCTGGGGTGCCCAGCCTGGATGCCAGGGTCCGCAGCCCAGCTGATGGCCCCCCCGCCCCCCCACA